TATTTGTTATTTTGTACGTAAATTACTGTTCGAGTATTGCAAAAGCTTAGAGTTTGAAATGATTTCCAATTGTCCATTGGCAATAATACCGTTAATTGGCAAACCATTTGTCAGCGATCCCAAGATCTTTGTGCAGCCTCGCTTTCAATATCGCAGGATATTTATCTGAATCATATGGCTAAATATCATCCGCAAAGGCAGTTACAGAAACTTCTCTCAGGGAATAGAATAAATCTTCATAAGAAAATATTAAATAAATTCGTGCATGGTCATGGAATAATATTAGGAGAAAACCAAAAACACGAGCACACTGTACCAGACAGCTAGGCTTTGATAGCTTCATTCGCTTGCAGCATCCAGACAAAAGATGCGACGATAAGTTCTCTTGACGGCGATTCGAAAATCCCTAAGCCGTAAACAGTACATTACTGGATTCAAAGAGGAGTTGGAGAACATTAGTGTTACAGTGAACTCGTATATCAAAACCACACTAACGTTTGGAGCACCGCTAGAGATCTTGTTTACAGCTGTGGTCACGAAAAAGGGAAAGTAGCATACCAAGAAGGCAAAAAATACGTAGAACGTGTTTATTGCGGATCTCCTTTGTTTTTTCAATCGATTTGTTTCGCTCTGTTCGCTCTGTGCTTCCATTTGATCGCGGATTTGGGCTTTATGGCGCCTCACAACCAGGTAAATTTTGATATATACTGCAAATGTAGCCACCAGTGAAATTGCTATAACAACTGCTCCAAGAGTTGAATACACATGGAACCCTTCCATCCAAACCAAGCTAAGTAAGGCGTTAGTCGCCCAAATAGACAACTGCACTAGATTGACTCGTTTTTCGGTGACAAGTAGTGGATATCTCAAATGCAGCCGAATCGCCAGAAATCGATCTAAACCAATAAATGTGATGTATAACAGCGAGACACCGGCAAAAAATGTCGTCGATACGCTGTAGGCAGTCACGATATTACAATCAGGAATGGTATTTTTGTAGACTCGATATAACACCAGTATATACAATGGGTGAACGATAAGGCCGACACCAAGGTCAGTCAGGGCCAATCCAAACAGGACATAGTTCGATGTTGTACGCAGAGACGAAACCAGCATAAAACTGAGAATAATCAAAATGTTTCCCACAGCTGCTGTGAACGTGAGCCCGATATTGAAGATAACATTCAACAATATTGCGTATTCGTATTTCCCAATAAGTATTGTAACTGGAACATCTATGGAGCATTCACTTTTAGATGCATTCAGTGGTAAATTCATCACTAACAGTGTTGTTTCATTTCAATCTCACGCTAATCTTGACCTTTCCTCGGTGTCACTGTTGATATAAGAAGGCTTGATGCGTTCTCCGATGGTTATCGGCGGCTAATTACGCAAAACACGTAGGTGTCCGATCGAGAGTCATTTATTTAAATAGCTTAGTCATTTTAATAGCTTGTTGCCCTATGCCGGGGTCAGTATTAACATATAGAATACAGTGTTACGAGATATTATTACTGATGGCAGCCGCTATTGCTAGGGTCGGCGAAAAAAGTGAATTCTTATGAACTAAAATGAAATAATTTTCTCGCACACGTTTTCTAAGGGATGGGAAGGTCGAAGAGAATAACATATAACAAAAAAATTAGTCAGAGTCTAACGGCTCAGAAAATCAAGCAGCATCTGTGTCTGTCAAAATGGGATGAAAGATGAAAGGCAGGTGTTCTTGCATTAATTAGCTTTACTCTCCATCCTTCATAATTAGCCGCTTACAAAATGTTCATCCTCTTTCTCATCTTGATTTGGTAATGTACTGTTTTGCTCTACGCAATTGTCAAGAATCAGAAGTTGAAGGTACTTAATTATTAACGTCGTAAAAGTATTTTTAACTGGATATAAGCGCTTGTTTATCCAAACAACCACTGAAATATCATCAGTCATTGAAAGGGTACCATCTTGGTTTAAAATAGATTGCGGAAAAACCAACTAAATAAAGTGATCTCGGGGGAAAATGCAACAGGCGATGAGCATGCTCCATCAAATATTTTTCTTGGTTTAGTTATCATGATCACACAATAGCTTTCAAAAATATTGTGTATAGATAGGCCATAGAAGCGAGAAAGTGCTATCCTCTTTTAATTTTCTAGAAATTTCCCCCTTTTGGGCTGATTAGAAATTACCAACACAATTACTCCTGAGTTGTACGACACGGAAAAAAAAAACAGCTTGTATGGGATATTTTTGTAAAATATGATCGCTTTTTATCCTTTAACGTGATATCGAAGGTTGAATACAAACAAAGATGATTTACTGCTCGATAAACCTATATAATTATACATGCTTATTTTAAACTATTAAATGGCCGATGAAGAATACGCATGAAGTGTTCAAAAAGGTTTCAAACATAAAGGAAATATTTTCAACATTTCAATCATTTCCTCGTGTGCTTACCCCTTCTCTCTCCTTGAGTTAAATTAAGAAGCTACTTCTTTGCGTTGTCGGAATTTGAAATGTGCCCCATCTTTTCCGACGGCGGAAATGACAAATGTTACCTACTATTCTGTTCTAAAACTTCACACCGGCTCCAATCTTTTCCGGCCAAGTTCTTACAAAAACAAAACACAATCCCTGACTATTTGTAACCAAACAAGTATGTTTACCAAACTCAGTAGCGAGAATGAAATGCTAGATATTGTTGGTTGAAAAAGTAAAATTGAAAAATAAAAAAAATTTTAAATGGCAACGCTGTTGGGAACTCGCTCCGGTAGCAGCCAAGGATAGGGAAATTCCAGAGACCGGTTGCGTTCCTTGATGGCATCCGATATCCGCTGAAGGGAAGACTGGAAACGAGAAACAGCATTCTCCACTTCTTTCCCTGTCAAAGAGCTCTGAGAATAGTCTCCAATGAAACGCTGCAAAACAGAAAGATCCAAGTGAACTAATTCAGAGTTCCTGGAGATCTAAGTGCATCTGGCCAAACAACACCTACGCACCATAATACCACAAACAAAGTCTAATTGAGGGAAATTTCACTGTTCAAATTATGTTATCCCAGGTCCAAACAACTATTAGTGTCATTATTAACATAATGATTACACTGAGTATAACCAGTCGTAAAGTTCTATTTCTACATTACTAGTTCCTCTTTTACGCAAAAATTCCTTTCCCGCAAAAACCACAACTGTAAGTTCCTACCTCGTTTTCTGCCATTCTCGTAAGAGTGTACACAGTAGCAACGTGCCAGCCAGTTTGATAGTGGCTGGGTAATGTATCCATGATGGTCTTCAGAGTTACTTCATTCTTTCTAGTTGGTGGTGGAAGACGCATTACAGGTGGGACATTCGGGACGAAGCCGGTAAATTCCATCTGAGCGTAGTTAACCGCTGCGTGTTGACATGAACACCCAAACACTATACACGTCAGTAGGTGAACCAGCTGATCACGTTTCTATAAACTTCTGGGAAACTCGTGGTCAACATCGCCTTCTCTTACAGGGAAACCGTTTTCGTGTATATCCTTCACGAAGGACTGCAACTCGTGATCCTTAATAACATCTTCGTCTGACGCATAGAAGATGGCGACGAATTCCTGTAGGAAATCTGAGATGGCATTCCACATAAGGAGCCCGTCATCCCTGATGTGTACAGTAAATATGGTTAGGAAATTGATAGAAATAACTTGTCACACTTTTCGAAGATAAAAGGCTGATTAGGCTGGCCGATATGTCACTTGTTTCTTATAGATTCACCCAAAATGGCTAACCATAACCATGCCTCAATCAACCTACAAAGCCTTTTTAACCCTGCATCTTTGTGAAAGAAGGTTTACCAAATAATTTATTCAATCATCGTTGATTTGGTCTTATCAAATGAGTTGATAATGTAAACTGGCCACTTTGAAGAGTTGCTGAGCTAACGTTTCGAGCATTAGCCCTATTTCGTTAGCCCTTCGTCATTCACTCTGATAGAGGGCTAATTCTCGAAACGTCAGCTTAGAAACTCTTCACGGTGGCCAATTAACATTATCAACTCTCTCGTTAAAACCACATTATTCATCGAAAGCTTACCTGTAGAAGTAATTAGGCAACTTTTCAGTGTCTTCCACACCTCTTTTTTTCAACATGCCTGGCAAAGAGAGCATTTCAAACTTGAAATTCTTGTACGTTTTTTCCAGTAGTTGAATGTGCCCTCCACCGCCAATGCTCAGAGTTTTGTCGCAAATGCCTCCTTTTGCAATCAATTCATTTCTTCCAATGGTGTTGATGGCCATTACTGAACGAAGATGAGGAAAGAGAAGCTGAAAGATAGGATGAATAGACGGCAATTGCCGCCATGAGGCAACAGCAAACGCTTCCATCAGCAAATGAGTTTTTGTCAAGTGGGTCCCCATCTATGAGAAACAATAGACACACTCGTGATTATTACATACCTTATTACATCAGATCTTTGTTAATGAGTTCGCATTTGAAGATGAAATGTCTCTTTGCATTCTCGTAAGGGATTCCTCTTCCCATGAGATATACATATTTAGACATTAAAAAATTGGTAGGATTGTAGCTTACTTGGTCGCGCTGGTAAGACGCAACTTTAAAAATCGGATGGTGTCCACCAATCTAACAGACCTCACTTGCCTAGGATGAATTCGACCAAGCATTCTGGTACTGACCTGATGCACTTGATGGTCTGCATTTCGAAACCACATTTTCGCCAGGAGCCAATCATAATGCGTGTCGCCGGGAGTCCATATTGGGTTATTTTCGCTGGGTTCTTGGAAAAGTTGAATTGCAATAGGCACCAGGTCTCCTGAATTCTTAACATAAAAGAGACAAATAGGCTCAGCTGCGTAGTGAGATTTGTAGTTGCTGTCCTTACCACCGCGTTTGATTCCCCTGAGTTCCTTGTAGTCAACAATGAAGACATGTCCAGCCTGATTAAAAGAAAGAGATGTTAGTATCAGCTATTTGCTATTGTGAAATGTCAGGCCCGAGTTGGCCATCAAAGGCGCAAGTCTATCACGGTTAGCTGCATTGCATAACCGACTTGTAGCTTTGATTAAATTAAGTCACTCAGCGTCAACTGAAGTAACCAAACAGACGGGCTATAATATTCTAAAGAAGCCTTTATTATTAATTAATGTAGCTTGAACTTAATTCCCTGATGGATTATATTAACGAGTTTCTAGTCCATTTGGAATGTTTTGATCAACAATGGGATTCTGTTTACAAATGCAGAGACCTGACTG